CTCTGCAATTAGCAGCAATACTTTCAAATCTTTGGCAAGTAGATAATTTCCAAATTTCATGTTTCTCTCTCTGAATTGTATTCTGAATAACTTTAAACACTTGTCTTTCATAAAAAATGAACTTCTTGATCTTCATTTTTAGGAAAAACTATGAAACTAAAAGATCTGACAATGTAATACTCAAATGAGTTTAAAGAATTTATGGCTTAAATGAGTCTGAATTCTAATTTACCTTTTACTTTGAGCTTAGCTACTGTTTTTGATTAATATGCATTTCGTACATTAACTGCTTCCTCTACTCTCCTGTCAACTTTGTAATAGGTAAGTGATACTCCCTCACACCCTACTCTATGATACATTTAAAGAAAGATAAAAAGTCAATTTAGGCTTTTCTAAAACTACGATTTTCTAATATAAGTTTCTGAATTGCTTTATATTTGTATCACTAGATATAATTTCTGACGTTTACATATTTACTGAAGATGTAATGAATTCAAGGTAGTCATTATATGTCTAGATCAGGTTAGCACATTAAAGACTTTATGTATCTTCAACCATAGAAATCATAGTATCTCCAAACGAAAACACTCTCTATCTCTAAGCAATTCAGAACTCATATTCTAGAATGGTAGTGAGCAAAGCAAGGATGTTTACTCTTACGCCTTCTTTTTAACATATGCTGGAGGTCTCAGCCAGTGCAATAAGGCAATAAATAAAGAGAAAAAATTAGCCCGGTGTAGTGGTGTGCACCTATTGTCCCAGTTACTCAGGAGACTGAGCAGGAGGATCGCTTGAGCCCACGAGTTTGAGGTGACAGTGAGCTATAATGACACCATTGCACTCCAGCCTGGCTGAGACAGAGTGATACCTTGTCTCAAAATAAAGAAATAAATAAAAAAAGGCAATACTAAGTGTTGTTGGTGAGGTTGCAAAGCGACTACAACTCTTATGCATTGCTCGTAGGAATATAAAATAAGATTTTGAAATATAACTTGGCAATTTCTTTAAAAGTTAAATTTATATTTACCGTAAGATTCATCAATTTCACTATTAGTTATTTGTCTAAGGGCAATGAAAACATGTTCACACAAAAACTTGCACACAAATGTTTGTGGTAACTATTCATAATATCCAAAATTAAACCCAAATACCTATCAATAGAAGAATAGATAAACCAAATGCAGTATAGCCAATATAAGGAAATACTACCCAATGATAAAAAGGAATGAATTACCACTACTTGCCCAATATTGGTTTGTATTCAAAATGATAAAAAGGATATGATAAAATGATAAAAATTCAAAATGATAAAAATCTCCAAAACACTGTTGAACCATTGAAGCTAGACATTCGATGATTCCATTTATATGAAACTTTAGAAAAAACTAATATACACCCAGAGTGAAGATGATTCGCTGGAAAGGAATCCTAGGAAATATTTTGGGTTGATGAAAATGTTCTGTATCTTCACCGATGTGATTATAGGTTTATATATTTGTCACAGTTATTG